CTCTTCTTCTCTATTTTTCCTATCCTTTTCTAGTGACCACCGTGACTTTACTGCCGCCCTCTCGTCACCGATGTTTGTCATCTGCCGTTCCCTTGCCGACCGCTTCATACCAGCCGCCATTTATTTCTTGCTCTAGATCTTAACTTCTAGATGTGGAAGAAGAAGGGGACGAAGAGGAAGTTTTTCTTTATGAAGAGGAACTTCCTCTTCGTCTAGAGTTGGAAGAGGAGACTCCCAACAAAGTGGAAGTTGAGTCGACTTTCTTCCGCTTCAAGACTAAGATCAATAGAAGAGGGAAGATTAGTGAGGTCTAAAGTTAACCTAGGGAGTTTAGTATAAACTACCTCAAATGGTGACTTCCTTGTTGTTTTGTTTTTTATGTGGTTGTAGGCAAACTCTGCTTGAGCCAAGGAAATGTCCCACTGCTTAGGATGATCGCCACTAATCCATCGAATCAGATTTCCCAATGAACGGTTTGTCACCTCAGTTTGACCATCCATTTGGGGATGGCTGGTAGTGCTAAACTTTAAAGAAGTATCAAATTTTTTCCATAGGGTACGCCAAAAGTGGCTAAAAAATTTAACATCTCGGCCAGAAACTATGGATTTTGGAATTCCATGAAGTCGAAAAATTTCCCTAAAAAACAAGGTAGCAATAACAACAGCGCCAGAAGTCTTTTTTCAGGCCAAGAAGTGTGCCATTATGCTGAAACGATCCACTACTACCATTACTGAATCAAAGCCTCTTTGTGCACGAGGGAGGCCAAGGACAAAGTCCATGGAGAGGTTCTCACAAATGCTTTCGGGAATAGGTAGAGGCGTATAAAGACCTGTATTTTGTGAAGTTCCCTTATAAGTTTGACATGTGAAGCACTTATCCACATAATTAGTGACATCCTTTCTGATTTGAGGCCAGAAAAATCGAGCAGTGACAATCTCAAGATATGAGGGTCACAAAGTGTGTTTCCTTTAAAAAGGTATCCCTCTACTATGTGAAAATCATTGACTGCTATATGATTATGGCACTTGTGCCAAATGTTTTGAAAATCTATGTCACCTTCATACATATCAGGGAGATACTCAAAGGCCACTATTTCACCTTTAAGAAGTGTTAAAAGGCTTCCTTCGCGGCTTAAGGCGTCTGCTGCTTTATTGGTACTTGCCGCCTTGTGTTTTATGACAAATCAAACCTTTGAAGAAAAGATAGCCATCTAGCATGCGTCGACTTATTGTTTTTTGTGTGTGCAAAAACTTTAACGAGAAATGGTCAGGAAATAAAATGAACTCTTTGCTTAAGAGATAGTGCTCCCACTGTTTTAGAGAACGTACTAAAGCGTATAGTTGATGATTGTGGTGAGAGGACGGCTGTTGATTCCATCTCTTTTCCGGTGAAGGAAGAGTCTCCAATAGTGCTCTTCTTGCTCGCCATTTCTTGCACCCAAGATTGAAAGTGCTCTGATACCAATTTGATGCACACTTGTACTAGAGATCTTGAAGGAATTCACTTATGTTTCTTTATTAATGAATACAACTCCTATCCATAGAGGTTGCTGGTGTAATGATAGTACAGTAACTTGTTGTTACCGTGAGGTAACAACTAAAACATAACAATAAAAGCTATTAGCTAGGACAAGCTTTAAACTAATCTGTTTAATGACTACATCCAGCATCAATCCATATGTCTTCCCAGAATCTCACCCTAATTCCCAAAGAGACTTTATAAATGATAAGGTTGGAAAAAGCTGTACTCGTACCTTGGATGTCTATCCACGGTCTGCCTTTCGAAGATCCACTGGAAACGGTCGAAAACCAGCCAAAAGTATCCTCCCCATATACAGAAAGTATCACTCTCCTCCATAAACTATTCTTCTCCGTGGCAAAGCGCCAAAGCCATTTCATCAGGAGGGCTTTGTTTCGAAGAGTAAGCGAACGCCCTCCAAGACCTCCTTGTTGATGAGGTAAAGCTGTCCAAGTCCATTTGACTAGGTTCTTTATCGGCCTATGCTCGCCCCCATTCCAAATAAAATCCCTCATTAATTTTTCCATCGATGCAGTCACAGACCTAGGGGCTTTAAGGATGGAAAAAAAAATAGGAATACTGTTGAGAACGGATTGAGCCAAAGTAAGACGACCCCCTTTAGAGAGCATTAGGGATCTCCACTTTTGAAGACGTTTATGCATCTTGTCCACCACAGGAGCCCAAAAACTCTCTGATTTGTGATTACCTCCCACGGAAAGCCCAAATAAGTGAAGGGAAAAGTCTCTGCTTTACACCCAAAAATAGATGCCCAGAAATTCACCTCTGTGGTGCTGCAGTTTATTCCAATCACGGCTGATTTAGTAACATTAAGGGAGAGGCCCGAAATGAGTAAATAGAAATGAATCAGCCCCCACCAATTCTCCATCATCTGAGTAGAAAAAGGGCAAAAAATGAGGACATCATCTGCATATTGGAGGTGAGTAATGTCTATCTCAAGGGATCCTACAGGGAAGCCTTTGATTATCTTCCTTTCTAGGCTGTAATGTATCAACCTACTCAAGACATCTCCCACGATGGTGAAGAGAAAAGGGGAGAGGGGATCCCCTTGTCTAGCCTATATTTTGCCTTTGGGTCTACCATTTATCATTACAGAAAAATTTGTAGTTGTTAAACAGCCATGGATCCAACTGCACCATTTTGTACCAAAGCCTTTAGCCTTGAGGGCAACTAAGAGGAAATCCCAATCTACCTAATCATAAGCTTTTTCGAAATCTAGCTTCAACAGGAAACCTTTCTTTTTCTCCCTTTTCCAAGTACTTATAATCTCTGAAGAAATCAAAATGGCGTCAAGAATTTGTCTTCCTTTCACAAAAGCCACTTGGGAGTCATGGATTATGTGGGGGAGAACTTTCTTTAATCTTGATGCTAATACTTTTGCAATGATTTTGTAAAGAGAAGTCACCAAGCTAATTGGCCGATAGTCTTTGACCGATGAGGGATGGGAACTTTTTGGAATGAGGCAAATATACATCTCATTTGTTCGTTTGTTAATTATCCCCTTCTCAAAAAAGTCATGGAACACCTTAACCATATCGGATTTGAAAATGTTTCATCCCTTTTTACGAATTCGTTGCTCATCCCATCTGGAGCCAGAGATTTTAGAGTACCCAAGTCTGTTACTGCCCTCCTTATTTCTTCTTCAGTGAAAGGATCTTCAAAAGAGGAACTAAGACTTGCCTGCAGGGGAGACCAATCCATATTCTCCACCAAATAACAATTGTCCACTATAGCAGTATAAAGGGAGGAGAAATATCTTACGAATTCAGCCTCTATGTCCTCCCCTTTTGTGAGTAAGGTTCCCTGATCATCCTTGATTTCACTAATGAAGGCTTTGCATTTTTTATGAGTGGACCATCGGTGGAAGAAGTTTGTATTTTCATCCCCTTCTTGTAACCATTTCAATTTACCTTTCTGCAGCCACATCCTCTGTTCTGTCACTATCGTTTCTGTTAGGCTCTCCTTTAGAGACTTCCTCTTTTCTTGTTTTTCTATAGAAAGGGAATTTATCTCTTCTTCTGTGTCTAGATCATCTATGGCTTTCAAAAGCTCAGTCTTCTTCAAGCCAACATTGCCAAACTCCTCCTTGTTCCACAATTTAAGAAGGCTTTTTAATTCCTTCAATTTTTCCATAAAACCATAACCCGGCCCACCACTTGAAGGATGCTCAATCCACCATTTCTCTATCATCGGAAGCAGCTGAGGAGAATCAAGCCAGACATTTTCAAATCTAAAGGGCATGGGACCCCATTTCACCTTTTCAGAAGCCAACTGAATAGGAAAATGGTCTGAGGTTGATCGAAAAAGACGAGTTGCCCTTTGATCTGCAAATAGATCCATCCAATCTTTAGAAATCAAGAAACGGTCTAACCTAACGGTCTAACCTGGAGAGAGAAGGAGAGGATCTCATATTGGACCAAGTAAACGTGTCATTTAGAAATCAAGAAATTGATGTAGTTAAGTAGCTGCTTCATAGCTTTTCTCACTTATTAGCTACTGTTATAGCTTTTATTTTAGTAGCTTTACTTTTACTGCACAGTAACAATAGTTACTCATGTAATTCTTAAGCTTGAAACCTCTATAAATAGGTTTCAGTCTTTTAATGAAGAGGTGTTGAATCATTTCTTAAAAAAACTTGTGAGGAAAAGAAGTTAGGCCCCTTCCCAGTCATTGAACGATACGGATCAATGCCTACAAACTTCAACTACCCCCAACTTACAACCCCTGTTTTTAATGTTGCTGATTTGTATAGCTACCATCCTCCGAATTCTTTTTCCCTTGCATCTTAACTCGAGGATGAGTTTTGTTTTAGGGTCCGGGAAATTGATGCAGTACATAAGAGGTTATTATTTAGTTTTCTGTTAAATTAGTTAGAGAATAGCTTCTATGTTTTAAATGTACAATTACTATACAGTAACTTGTAGTTACTGTTTTGTCTTTAAAGGGTTGCCTCTATAAATAGGCCCCCCCTCTTTAATAAAAGCATTATTCATTTGATCTTCAAGAAACTCCACTGTTAGTGTGCATCAGTGGTATAAGCAAGGAAATAAGAGACACAGGGGCTTGTCACCCACGCAACAATCCTCCCAAAGATAGATTTCAGTCCACATTGTCATAAGCTTTTCCAAAATCAATTTTTAAAGTTATGCCTTCCTGGTTTCTAGTCCTTGATTGCCTCATTGGCAATAATTACCTGATCCAAGATTTGTCCCCCTGTAATAAAAGCTCCTCGGGTCTCAGAAATAGTAGGGGGAAGAATCTTTTCTCAACTGATCAGCTTTTAGCAATAATCTTATATAAGCTTGTATCGGTTGTAGTTTATTTTTGAAGATCTTATATCTTACAAAAGTTACATGTTGTTCTTTTTTATATTTTTCATCTTTTCAATAAAAAAGATTCTTTTTCTATCTAGAAAGAAAAACAAAAGAAAAAACCTTATGTTTAAGTCATTTACTCTAATGTAGAGCGGAGTAGAAATACGTCTTGCAACATATGAAGCGCTAGCCTCTGTTCTGCAAGTGCTTGTGTCGGAGTTTTCTTCTCAAGTTCTACAATTCATATGGGATGAGAATACAATCATGCATCTAGGAGTAGAAGGAAGACAACCGTTGGACTCTCTTGTTCTTACTTTTCATCAGCATGTAAATGGTATACTTGATGCGGGAGTTTTAGTCCGATCTAGAAGGGCAGTTCTACTGAAGTGGAAGGTGGCTTTTTAAGCTTTGCATTTGTCTATTCTTTATATGTTTTCTTATATTGAGTATTTCTACTGACCTAAAATGTTAGTAGTAGCATTTGCAAATTTTCTATCTTCACAATGTGAGAGCTTTAACATGACATTATACCATAATAGTTGCTTTGACTTTGTTTTAACAACTTTCAGGTAGTGTCAAATAGCAAATTGCTTCTGTCCTTACAAATTGTATTTCATCCTTGGATAAATTTCACAGTCAGCCTTTTTGGTCTCATAGATTTGCACACTATTTCTAGATTTACACTTCTTAGCTGCATGTGTTCATGTGATGATGGTTATCGGCCTTAAAGTGATCTGTGTGTCTTATGCAGTGGCTTTGCCTAGAATCTCTTTTATCAATTCCACAACGCACTTTTCAAGATGGACTCTGTTTAGTGGATAATAACTCTTTTTTGTCGGAAGCAACTCTTGTGCAGATATTTAATGATCTTGTTGAAAGGTAACATCTGAGATTAACTTCCTCTCGGTTATGATATCGGTTCATATATTTGTTAGATAATCATATTGGCCCTTGGGTGCTCCTGTTGTTTTATATTTCTGCTGGGAAAGGGAGTTGTAATGACCAAGTTCGTCAGTTGGTGGTATGGCAAGTGTTCGATACTTATTTATTCCCAATCCATACTGAATTATAATGATGAGACTGACAGTTGTGGAAAGGGAAACTATATTATTACTTTTTGTCAAATTTTGGATTCTGTCTAAATTAGTTGTTGTAAATTGCTGTGACTTGCTAGGGAAGATATTAACTTTTCTAGTTAACACTAACAACTTTCTTTTCTTCTGGAAGATATTAACTTTTCAAGTCAACACTAAAAACTTTCTTTTCTTCTCTTTTTTTATTCAACAAATGTGGGGTGAGGATCAAATCTTTGACCTTAGAGAAGGTAAGAGGTGTTTTATCCATAGCTTGGGCGAGTCAACACTAATCAGGATGACTTTTCTATTGAAGTCCTTAAAAAAGCATTGGAACACTCCTAATCCGATATTTTAGGGGTGTCTTACGATTATTTTAAGCATGAGATTATAAAATAGCCTTATATTTGTCTCATTTCCAAAATATTAGAGGCAAAATTAGTTAATAATTACTGACCAACCTTTCTACTTCTTGTTTCTGCAAAATCATTGAAGTTTGGAATCCTCTTTGGAAGAAGTTTTTCAAAAGAGAAAAAACAAGAATGGCTTTTCTTGCCAATTTACTTATCTAATTTCTCTCTCTTCAGCGAGTTTGACTAATTTATTTGGGTGAATGATTCTTCTGGGTTTTTTTAATATAATCCTTATTCAAGGACGTTGCAAACAGAACGAACCCTTATGGATTATCACCTCTGCAATAATATTTGGTAATCTAGATATCCTAAAAAAGTAATTTTCGGTTGGAGTCTGCTTATGAAGGCATCAACACTCATGAAAGGACCTTTGTGCTTCTCTCCCCTGTGTGGTGTTTCATTTGCAAAATTGATGCTGAAACTCAATGCCACTTCTTAATCTATCTCTTCGCAAATCAATTCTGGAACATTTTGCTTCTCAACTTCAATTAGCATATGACACTTCCCCTTGGTCTGAATGACATTGTCTTTTTAGTCCGCACTCCTTAGTGGTCATGTTCACGGAAGGGAGAAAAAGATACTTGGGTTGCAAATTTGTAGAGCCTTTTGGAACTTATAGCCTAAAAGAAACAATAGTCTTAATAACTTAGTGTTAAATTATATTTTTTATCTTTTAATTTCCTCTCATATTTAGGTTTTCATAGGTTAGGTTTCCTTGTTCTAATAGGAAAGGGTTTATTTTCTTTTCTTCTTTGTAGCTCCTATTTATAGCCTTGTATCAATTCTTATTAATTAACACTTAGAAAGCTCTTTTGATCATTTTTTGGATTATCTCATTTTTGTGGAACTTACTGTAAGCTTTATGACCTTTTTTGTAACTACTATTTGAGTTCTCTTCGTGTCACTTGGAAAAGTTTTTGGTTATCTTCCTGGCTTGGCTTTCCTCCATTTTTAAGTTCATTTATTCAATGAAATTTGTTTCTTATAAAAAAACTTTTCCATTCAAATTGATTCTGCTAAATTTTCAGCCTCGAGAATGCTGGAGAATGCTCTGTTTTGCCCATGCTGAGATTGGTTAGATTGACATTGTGGCTATTTTGCAAGGGGAAGTCTGGTCTGCTTGTTACATTTTGTAATGGCGTGAATTCAGAGGTTAACACTACATTCTTTATTTTGTTCCTGATCATGTAATCTTCTGTACTGTAAATACAGGGGTGCGTTATGTTGTGTTATCTCATCTTTATGGAGCTGATATGGTGTTTTCTTTCAAGTAATCTTATCCGAATAATTATTGATTTATTGTGCATTTCATTCAATGATTAGTTCATTATTTCCATTTTCTTTAGTAGACCTTGTAATCCTCCATTTTCATCTCGTCATTGGCTTCCTTATTAGTGGTTCTTTTTCTTAAGAAAAAATCAATAGGATAAGATTGCTGTATCTTTTGCTTTAATTTGGGTAACAATCAATATTCATTGCTGGTTTAATTTAGTTTATTCTCTTTTGGCTATATTTCTGCATTACACATTCTATAATTTCAGATGATGTGGCGTTTGGTACATTCCTCTTGGATATTGCATGTCAGCTGCAACAAGCGAAGGGTTGCACATATTGCTGCGCTTCTGTCTTCTGTTCTGCATTCTTCCACATTTTCTGAAAAGAGTATGCATTTAAGTGAGGGTGGAACAGGACCTCTGAAATGGGTGTGTACCTGAAAATTTTCTGTCCACTCACCTTTCTCGGGCATGTCTTCTCACAGTTGGTTTTCCATCAACTGTTTCCTAATGCATATTTTTGCAGTTCATAGAAAAATTTCTTGAAGAAGGCACAAAAAGTCCTCGAACGTTTCGTCTTGCTGCATTACATTTGACCGGCATGTGGCTCAGTTATCCATGGACAATAAAATATTATGTTAAAGAGCTGAAACTGCTATCACTATATGGTTCTGGTATGTTTCCATACCATATCTTATTTGTTATTTATATCCAATTTCCACATGGTCTCTGAAATCACATGTAATGTGACAATGGTCTGCAGTTGCATTTGATGAAGATTTCGAAGCTGAATTAACTGATTATGTGGCAAGGACTGAAGTATCGTTATTGGCAGAAAGTCCAGACCCAGAGCTCACAGAAGTACGTTTACATCTTTTAACATTCATATCGTTTAGTGTTAAATTATTCCCGTGATAAGATTGTATAACAAATTCACCTTGATGCTAAATCTTTCCCAACTCAAAACATCTCATTTTTTTTTTTTTCAGTACAATATCTTTAACTTCTGCTTATGTCATTCTATCTTGTTAAACAGGATTACATATCTAATTTACAATAGAATTACTACTTCACTCGTTTCTTAGGAACTATTGTTGATATTTTTTCCAGTATGTTCCTTTTCAACCATAGAATTGCATGTCTCTTGAGCCATTATTTCTTTTGACGCTCTTATTCCAACTTCTTTAGTGCTCCAAATTATTTGTTAATTAATTCCCAGTTGCATATCTCTTGTGCTCTGTTATTCTAAGTTCTCTAGAGCCTCTAGTAGCATAACCAAGACATGATGGGTTCTTCTTTAGGGCATTCGTCTAAATCATTCTTTCACGTGTTTGGTGGATCCTCTCCCCCTTTGTTGCTCCATTTTTCTTTGCTTTAGAAGATTAAGATTTCAAAGAAGGTCAGATTTTTTGTGTGGCAGATCTTACATAGCAGGATTAATACTTTGGATCACATTACGAGGCCTTCTATTTTTTGATAGGGCTGCAGTATTTTATACTTTGAACGGCTGCCGCCGATCATCCCTTGTGGTCTTTCCAATTTTCATCCTCTGTTTGGGATTGTTTGTTTCAGGCTTTTGGTGTTTGCTTTGTTCGCCCAAGAGAGTGTTGTTAGATGTTGGAGGAGGTTCTCCTTCACTCTCCATTTTGGTGTATGGGGCGTTTTTTTTGGTGTACTGGTTTTTGTGCTGTCTTAGAGGGCTAGGGAACAAGAGAAATAACAAGATTTTTAGAGGGGTCGAGGGAGAATGCTTGTGCTCTTGCTCAGTTTCGTGTTTCTCTTTGGACCTCAGCGTGCAAAGATTTTTGTAATTATCCCTTAGAGTTGATCTAATTAGATTGGAGCCCCCTCTTTTAGTTTGGTTCCTTTCATTAGGCTGTTTTTTGTATGCCTCTGGTATTCTTTTATTCTTCTCAATGAAAGCATGGAAAAAGATTCAGATGCATTTTGTAATATGCTTTACTTGGCTTTTAACTCTCAACAAATATGGAAAAAGATTCTTCTCTATGTAACACCAAAATCAAAATGAAATCTACGCTATTGAATTTAAATAAGACCTAAAAACTAACCGGCTAGTTGCCAGAAATATTACTTATAAATTACTATGTTACATTATATGGAATACAAATAAACGACAAGATAATTCTGAAAATATCTATCCAGATTTTATGCTTAACTGGCTTGGCACCAAATATATAAGTTGTGATTTGGAATATCTTCCTCGGAGCACTTTGACTCCATTGGATTTTCCTTTGGCCGATCAGGTGTTTATCAATACAGAATTGTATGCACGTGTATCAGTTGCTGTTCTGTTTCATAAGCTAGCTGACCTGGCTGATATGGTGGGATTGTCTAATAAGTATGGGAGTTGTTCTGATGCTGTGGAATCTGGAAAATTGTTTCTGCTGGAGCTCCTTGATTCTGTGGTATGGGTTTTTGTAGCATTAGAGTATGCATTGTGCATATGTTTATTTATTTTGATCACTACTTTTACTTGTCTGGGGCATGTGCCAAAATTTTTCTTTTTCTTTCTTTGATAAGGGACGCACATATGTAAGTTTCAATTGTAAATTTCTGACTAATACACAAAGCTAAGAGTTGTTTTAAAATTTTGATTTAGAAGCATTAAAAACTAAGGATAGAGACACCAGAGAGACATACACGAGAAAAGAGAGAAGAAATAAATTCTCAAATTGATTGATCAAAGATGAGGAATAGAGACACTATTTATAGGTTACAGGAGGAAACAAAATCTAGGAATAACCTCCTAACTTCCCTAACAAAAAAGGTGATTTATTTGCTAAATTTAAACACAAAATCTAAACAACTTCTAACTAAGTCCACATAATCTTAACTTCTAACTAATTCAACACTCCCCCTCAAGCTGGACTATACAGATTGAACAGTTTAAGCTTGATCAACAACCTTTCAAACACGGGCCTCAAGAGTCCTTTTGTTAGGATATGTGCAGCTTGATCTAATGATGGAATATACATCAGATTTATAATTTTCTCTTCAATATTCTCCTTGATAAAATGCCTGTCAACCTCAACATGTTTAGTACGATCATGATGCACTTGATTGTGTGCAATAGCAATTGCAGCCTCGTTGTAACAATAGACTTCCATTGAACTATCAAACTTGATCTTGAGTTCTTGGAGGAGGAGTTTCAGCCACATTATCTCACAAATACCATGAGATAATGCCCTGAATTCAGCCTCAGCACTACTTCTTGCGACGATTGTTTCTTACTCCTCCATGGAACAAGATTACCCCATACGAAGGTACAATATCCTGTCGTAGATCTCCTATCTTGAACAGAACTTGCCCAATCAGCATCTGTAAACACCTTAATCTTTCTGTCATCATCCTTTCCGAAAAATAATCCAAGTCCTGGAGTTCCTTTAAGATATCTAAGAATATGAATACATGGCTTCCATGTATTCTTCAGTAGGAGCATGCATGTATTGACTTACAACACTCACTGCAAATGCAATATCAGACCTAGTGTGGGATAAATAGATTAATCTTCCAACAAGACGCTGATATCTCCCTTTATCAACGGGTACCCCGTCTAGGCTCTCTCACAACTTATGATTGGGACTTATTGGAGTATCAGGCGGTTTACATCCAAGCATTCTGGTTTCCGGTTTCCGGTTTAAGGACGAGATGGATTTATGACTTTGCTGTTCAGGCTGTGGTGACTCCACTCCTCTTTGAACCGTTTGTCGCCGAGAATAAACAAGAGTCTCAGGTTGCTTGTCACTTCGATTTGGGTTGACTTGATCATTTTCATTATTATAGGAAATAATAGGAATCGACTCTTCTATCTGAGTAATTGGGACGATCGGGATGTATTTTTGGCTGAGGTGACTCGGTATTTAGACCATCAATCTCAGGTATTTTTGACTGAGGGGACTCAATTCTGTATTTAGATCGTCAATCTCCCAAAAATTTCCATCAAGATTACTTGTAATAGGCTCAGTCTCCCCCTGAGGGGAATTTAGGGAGAAAAAAAATTGAGACTCAAAAAATGTGACATCCATGGTAGTATTAAATTTATTGGTGATTGGACAATAGCATTTATAGCCTTTCTGAGTAGGAGAGTAACCAAGGAAGACACTTTCTGGCTTTTGGCTCCAATTTGTGACGTTCATGATCATAAACATGAGTGAATGCAGTACATCCAAATATTTTGAGGGGGATTGTAAGGACAGATCGGATTTGCGGATAGATAGTGAGTAAGATTTCTAGTGGAGTATTAAATTTCAGAACACTAGAGGGCATCCGATTAATGAGATAACAAGCAGTAAGGACAGCATCACCCAAAAAACGGTTAGGAACAGAATTGGTGAACATGAGAGTACGGGCAGTTTCTAAAAGATGCCTATTTTTCCTTTCTGCTATACCATTTTGTTGGGGGGCAATGACACAGGAACTTTGGTGAATGATTCCATTCTGAGATATAAAAGTTCCTAACGTTTGATTAAAATATTTTGTCCCCTTATCTGTGCGAATAATTTTGATTCTCGTATTAAATTGATTATGAATGAGATAATGAAACTGTTGAAAGATTGATGTAGTTTCTGATTTTTCTTTAAGTAAATAGACCCAACAAGCCCTAGTGTGGTCATCAATGAAGGTAAGGAACCAACGTTTACCAGACATATTTTTTATGCGAGACGGCCCCCATAAATCACTATGAATCATTGTGAATGGACTGGATGGTATATACTCAACAGAAGGATAAGATGTACGAGAGTGTTTTGAAAGTTGACACACTTTGCAAGTAAAAAGGTCATCTTTATGAAAAAGTGAAGGATACAAATATTTAAGATACTGAAAACTCGGATGCCCTAAACGGCGATGTAAAAGTAGAATTTGTTGTTCTCTAGAATTCGACTCACTACCAACCTAGAGAACTTGTTTATTTCGTTGACTTGGTCCTTTGAAGTAGTATAGCCCTTCAAAGCCATCAGCACTGCCAATCGTCGTTCCCGTTATCAAGTCCTGAAACGAACACTTAGAGTCAGTGAATAGGACCTGACACTTTAAATCATTAGTCAAATTCTGAATAGAAATTAGATTGCAACATAAAATTTAGGCACATGGAGCACTGAGTGCAATGTAATGTTCGGGCTAAGAATAACAGAACCAAAGCCCTTAATAATGGCCGATGACCCATCTACAAGCTTGACATGTATTTGAATCGGGTTGGGTGAGTACATGGTAAACATATCATGAAAAGCGGTCATATGATCAGTTGCACCTGAATCTAAGATTCACTGATCGGAATGCTGCTGACTTGTTAAAGCTGCACTAAAAATACCTCGTTGTGCCACGAAACTTGACGAAGGAGTAGACTCAATCGGCGGTGTTAAGAGGCGATAGAGCTGTTCAAGTTGTGCCTTCGAAAATGGAGTGAGAGAGGTGGCCCAATCTTGGGAGTTTGACACACTAGGGCCCACTTGATAGTCGAAGGAGCTGGTTCGAGAAGTATTTGTAGGTAGAGGTGGCCGATAATCCCCTGATAAATTCTTCCGTTGAGGACGACCATGGAGTTCCCAACACTGATCTTTTGTATGGTTTGTGCGCTTACAATGATCACACCATAGGTTGTTCCGACGAGTAGATCGGGATGAAGGTGGTGGTGGACCTCGTACCGCCAGATCTGATGATTCCAGTGAGAGGGACAGGTTTTGTAGGTGTATCATCCATCATCACAAGTTTACGGCTTGACTCGTAGCGAACTTCTGCGAAGATTTCGTCAATGGCTGTGATTGGCTTTGTGGCAAGTAAGCGGCCACGCACATCATCTAATTTCGGACGAAGACCTGCAAGAAAATCATAAATTCGTTCCTTCTTGACGTGTTTGCGGAAGCGTTTAGCATCCTTCGAGTTCTCCCATTCGAGATTGAGACGTAGATCAAGTTCAGCCCAAAACCTAGGTAATGAGCTGTAGTATTGCGTGACATCAGATTCACCTTGTCGTGAGGAACGTGCCTTATTGCGTAATTCAAACAATTTAGCTGAGTTATCTAAATCAGAAAAAGCCGTAGTGAGCGCGTTCCAAAGATCCTTTGCTGTTGAGTAGAAGATGAAGGATTCTTGAATGTCCTCCTCCATCGAGTTAATGAGTCATGCCATGACCATTGAGTTTTGAGCATCCCACACAGAAAAAGAAGGGTCATCTTCATTTGGTTTTGCTATCGTGCCATTGATGTACCCGAGTCAACTTCGGCCACGAATAACTAGGAGGGCCGATTGAGACCATTGCAGAAAATTTTTTCCGTTGAGTTTTGGAGAGGTAATTTGACAAACACCGTTTGTTCCAGTATTTGAGATTCCCAATTATCAATTTTCAAATAAAGGTTGCGAAATCTTTTTCATTTACCATTTTGATTGAATTTGCTTAACAATCTTCCATCTTCAAATTTCAAAAGAGCTTTGTGGTCCATGAATGGATTAATGCAACACGGCTGAGAATATTTTGAATTTAGAGCGCTGGCTACTTTCCAATTATCATGAGCTTTCAACTTTGTAATTACCATAATATTTCTCCAATAAATTTCCAAGACCTCAATCTCTTTTCTGACCCAGAATGTTTTCCTCTTTTCTCAAAAATGCTTCTTTTATCAAAAACGATTTCTTCCTTCAATGATTCAACTCCAGTTACTTTGAATTCTGCATTCAACTTGGTGCCCTGCAGAACAGTTTTCAACTTGCCACGTTTTTTGACTGCCTCATCATAGGTGTTTTAAATGTCCCAGTAGGGAGCATTTTGTCCTTTGGGATCTCACTTTCATTTTTCAGCTTAGTCTTTTCATCGTATCTAGATAATCGCACTTTTTACATGTCCCAGAAAGCATACCACCCTTACTTATTACGACCTACTGGAACTGAGAACCTCTTTCTTCCTCTAGTGATGGGCCAAACAACACACTCCATATAACAAGTGAGATTGAATTTCACTTTCTGGATTCAGCAGGCACCCCATGTGTTTTTAGTTTGTCTAAAGAGGGACGATTGAATTGGAAAATGCAACAATTGAACTAGATTTCCTCAAACCAAATTACATGTGAAAGCTGGAGGGGCAAATAGGTTTTGAAATCATGTCTTCAACGAAGAAGTTTTCCTCCCATATGCAAAAGTGCTTATTATCAATACGACAGCTATTCATCTCCATGGTGTTATCAAGAAATCTTAAGGACTGCTTAAAACAGAACGACTTAAACAATCTTGATGATCTAGAAGAAATCTTAATAAACTGATGGCAATGAGGGAGAAGAACTATGAGACAGTGGAGCGTGAAACAATCATGATGACTTGAGATCAAACTTAACAGACTGATGCTATAGATGAGGAAACCTTAAAGAACAGATACTAATGCGGAAAAAGACCTAGGAGAGGAGAGTGAAGAGACCATTTTCCTTACCTTTTGCCATCCATGTTTTTTGAGTGGAAACTAGGTGCATATGTAAATTTTTACCGTACAGTTTCTGAATAATACACAAAGCTAGGAGGTTGTTGAATTTTCCAAGGGGTTGTTGACCCCTATTCTTGTCTCTAATTTTATCAAATTCTACTTCAACCTTACCACTGCTTCGGCATGTGGCCCATTCTTGAACAGCTGTGATTTGCCTCCAATCTTCCCCAACACGTAACCATCACAAAACCTATGTTTATACACTAACACTTGATCTTTCTTCTAGAGTTCTTTGGTTAGCCCTTGAATCTGATTGCATCCCTCTCCCCGATGCTTTCTGACTTCATTGCCAACCATTGGGAGATGTCATACTCCTTGTGGCCTACTTAGTTCTAGAATTGGGAAGTATGTTGGAAGAATAGAGTTGAAGAGAATGTCAGTTGGTTTGGGTCCGTTTCCAATTGGGTTTAGCCCATTTCTTGGTCCAAGTGTAGTCCTCTGGCATGGGCCTTTTAACGTTCATATTACCCATGAATGGGCTGTTGCTCCCAACAAATTGTTGGCCCGTGAGGGGAAAAACCAATGGGATTCCTCGTATGCCTCAACTGAATTTTTTTCATGCACCAACAAGCAAATGTAGATAGGTCACTTTTTTAGTGGTCCAGAATCCAGGTCACTCCCTCCTAGTTGGGCTCTCTTTTCCTTTTCATTAGAAAAAAGGAAATATGCTATTATAATGGAAAGAAAATTACAAAATTTTGAGCAGTTCAGAAGGGCAAGCTCTAAAATGTATTTCTCTTATTTGGTTTGCTTCTGAATGTATTTTGAGCTTTTATAAGCTTGCCTGAGACTTTGTATTTGTATCAATCATTTGGCAGTTTGTTTTAATATTTGTGATGCTCTTTAACAAAAGTTATTGTTTTCTGTCAATTAGCTTTGGGTTGAATGTTGATTTCATCATGTATTTGGTACAGGTAAACAACAATGACCTTGCAAAGGAATTGTATAAAAAGCATAGTGCGGTGAGTTGGTTTAAATTATTATGGAGTTTTCTATATGGGAGAATTTATCAAGGGGGTAAATTCATATTCTTCATATATTAACAAAATCTTAGGAGTAAAGTTGTAATTCTTGTTGTATGGATCATTGGTAATGCAATTTTTCTTCACTGTGTTTCATAATATCTAGCCATTTATTTTGAAATATTTCAGCACCTGACTTTGTGAATTGTTTCCGCACCCAACTTTCTGAAAAAAGTTTCTATTAGAATCTTTGTGAATATTTCAACATCGATCTTATTTTATACACTGGAAAAAGGATGAGTATTATAGCCCCAGACCCCAGTCTATGTTGATTGATTTTGCGCCTCATTATGAATATTTCATTTTATACCTCTTACTTATCAGATTCATAGACGCAAAGTACGTGCTTGGCAAATGATATGTGTTCTATCCCGGTTTGTCTGCCAAGATATAATTCAGCAAGTTACCAATAGCTTGCATGTTGCCCTCTGTGTAAGTAAATGTTGGATCTAATGCAACATTCTAATTATTCACTGTTTTATTTGCCATTGATTTATATAATTTGAAAGTGCTGCATAGGTTTTAATAAATCATATGAATCAATTGTTGAGTTCGTAATTTATTCACTAGCCATCATAAATTCTTTGTAACTGTATGATTTTTTTTCTTCAATGAGAAACACATATTTCATTAACATGATGAAATATACAAAAAAGGGATAAACCCAGGGAAGGGAAATTAAAAAAAGGTCCTCCAACTCATCAAAAGGTCGGTAACTGTATGATATTGTGATAGATCTTTATTTGAGCCACTATCTAACCATATTTTCATTTGATTCACTCGCTTCTTCGTAGTGCCTTTGATTTTGTAGCAATTTCTCTTGCATTTACCTCCTCTCTTATCTAATAAAAGGGGAAAAAAGAAGAAAAAGTGTATTCTATACCTGGTAATTCATAATTGTAACCCAACGATTTTGTCATTCTAATAGGAATTAGAAGGAGAAATCTATTCAATTAAATAGAATACCTGTTGTCTTATTAGTCTTATTATTATTATTATTATTATTTTTTAATATGGTGAATTAAGAACGGGTCATGTGAGATTGAAACCTGTTTCGTCTTGACAGCCTAAGATAGTGGCTTACAGGACTTATCTCTGAGTAGGTAAACATGATTTATTTGGACTGCTTTTCTTGAAACCATTCGTTTGGGGTCGAAGAAGGTTGTTTTATTGACAGCTGTTTTTCTCATCCTTTTTTCTTTCCCTCTGTTTCCTTTTCAGTTTTATTACCATTCTCAATAGATTTAGGGCATTATCTATTGATTATTTTAGCATAATTTTCTAAGCATATTTAATTGTTATTTTACCATCAGAAATTATGGAAGCTAAAATGTTTCCTCATGAATTAACCTGGCTAAATTTCTGTAGATCATATTTGCTACTGAATACTTGTAATTTCCTTCATGTCCTTATTTACAGAGAAACAACCTTCCTTCTGTTCGTCAATATTTGGAAACATTTGCAATAAGCATTTACTTGAAGTTTCCAACACTGGTAACATGATTTATTTCTTGCAATTTTTTAGGAGGATATAATAAATATTTTGTATGAGAGAGAGAGAGAGAACCTTGGGGTGGGTAATTGTAAGACGTGGTTTGTTTTTAGTTTGGTAAATAATCCCTCAGGAAAAGGAAAATATATTTAATTTTAAATGTATACTTATTTTCTTTACATAACTTAATATGCCTATTTAAGATTATTTATTAAATTTTGAACCTAAAATTTAAAACACCAACCTTCCATTGGAGGCTTCTTTTCTTTTTTCTTTTTGGATTTTTACTTGGGGAAATCTTTTTTAAAAAATATTTGCAAATTTGTATTCTTCTAAATTTAATTGCAAATATAGCATTTTTATAAAAAAATCTAATCGTAAATACGAGAATTTTGTTAGAACTAATAAATAATTGATTGTCTTAAATAATAGTAATGTATAATATTTTTATTTTATGTGATAGTAATTAAGAGGGAATGATTCAAATTCTATGATGGCCATCTACCTTAGGAATTAGTAATTCCATTGTGTTTCCCAGCACCAAATATTGTAGGGTCAGACGGTTGTCCCGTGAAATTAGTCGAGGTGCGTGTAAATTGGTCCGGACACTCACGGATATAAAAAAAAAATAAATAAATAAAAAAAAAAAACCTAGGTATTGGTTAACTATTATTATAGCAACCACAAATTAACCTAGATATTGATTAACGGTTATCACTTATTTACCTATATCTTTATTAATAGCTATCACAAAATTACCAGTATTTAACTTTTCTATATTTACAATCTTTTTAGGTGATATTTTTTGTAGTATTTTATCTAAAGTAGGCTAGATTTGCAACTACTCTTTCTTACTTGTGTGTTGTTGGTTGTGATATTTTTCTTAATGGAATGGAGGATTGGGTAAGTTTTCTATACTTATTTTGTTTAGTTCTATTTGTTCTATACAAATGAATTGGGGAATTTTTAATTCATCCGGTTTATTGTTACATCATATTAATTTACAGATTTTTAGTGTATTGTAGGTTGATTTCATTCACAAGTGACATGATCCTTTCCTATTTGTTCTAGTGTCTACTGTCTATTCACAAGTGACAATATATTTGTCTAATTGGGATTTGGAACATTTATTTTCCGTTTCAGTTAATAAATATTGAACTTTGTTAAGAAAGAACTAATCGTGATGACCAAAAGGCAAAAATGATTCAGTTCTGTCTGCATACATTGTGATGTTGGAGTTTCATCTGCACTAGTTTTTGAAGTGCATTTTCATTGTTTTATGTTACTGTTTTGTATACTGTTATATAAGTCAAAGAGCGTATTATTAATATTGAAATTAAAGAAGTATATGTAATATTTTTATCAAATAATTTTCAAATAGTTAAATAATAATTTTTATTGAACATATTTATTCCTTTTCTATTATCATAAATCTGTTCGCTTGATTTGAATAACCCCCTTCCTATGTTACGTTCACTCATCTCACTTGTTAACTTTAGTGTTCTTCCTTTATTCACATAAAATCAGAACTACCCTTCACCCAGCATCTTGTCTTCTCTTTGTTTGACATTCTGATGTAGTCAGTAGCTGTTATATAGCTTTTACCATGTAATTACCCTTAGTTTTAGCTTATGTTTAGTTAGCTTTTCAGTTTACTGCACAGCAACAGTAGTTACTGTTGTCAAGTGTTCTATAAATAGGTTTCAGCTTCATTAATAAAGCATTCATTGAAATATTATCAAACTTTGTGTGCAAGACTGCATCAAATTGGTATCAGAGCACCGAAAATCCTTGGGCTTTTCAAAAATGGCTGGGAAAAAGAATGCTCCGATTGGGGGAGATTCCTCTCTTGCCAAAAAAGAAGCGGAAATTGTTGCCGCCCTCTCTTCACAATCATCAACCATGCGTTTACTATTGGTTGAAGAAACTGTCGAAAATATACAGTAGAATGTGGTAGAGATTAAACAAATCCTTCATGTGCTGGTGGACAAGATCGAAAACATACAAGCAGACCAACCGAAGAAGAAGAATGGGAAAGAACCACAAGGGGAAGGGATTACAATCGGTCGTGAGACACATTTTCCAGCCCCAAGAAGTAATCAAGATACCTTTCCTATCCAAGAAACCCATACGGTTCTATCAAGAAACCTTCCTATCCAAGAACCCCACCATATTCCTCAACGAAACCATGAAGTTCCCCAAAATCATATCCAAGATTTCCATAATCGACCACCTAGAGAATACCATAATCCTGTTTTTGGTCCACCACAATATCAAGATTGGCCAAGAAACTATAATGGTCATCGAAGATTCCCTCGGAGATAGGATGTTCACAGTGACTCTTCAAGTGATGAGGATGACTTACAAACTTGGCATGAGGGCAGGCGGCAACACAGACTCCATCCCCACCACCATCGGGAGTAGAATGACTAGAAAATGAAGATTGATCTCACTTACTTCGATGGCAAGATGGACATCGAAGGCTTCCTAGAATGGATTAAGAATGTTGAGAGCTTCTTCGAATACATGTCAACCTCGGATCATAAGAAGGTAAAACTGGTGGCCTTTAAACTCAAGGGCGACGCTTCAGCATGGTGGGAGCAGCTGGAAACAAATTGCCAACAATTTGGTAAGTCTCCTATCCGTTCTTGGGAAAAAATGAAAAAACTAATGAGAGGCCGGTTTCTACCTATCAATTTTGAGCAGATTTTGTACAATCAATATCAAAACTGCAAATAGAGAACCCGTTCTATTAGTGATTATACATAAGAATTCCATCGTTTGGAAGCAAGAACTAATCTTGGAGAAATTTACTCCGTTTCTGCAAGCGTATGGTCGATGATCGTGGTGAGAGGACGGAAATTTACTCTGTTTCTTTGCTGGCTAAGGAAGGATATCCCACTGCTGGTTTCTTTTCCACCATTGAATGCCCAGAAATTTGGGTGCTCTGATATCAATTTGATGCAGTCATGCGCACAAAGTTTGATAATATTTCAATGAATGCTTTATTAATGAAGCTGAAACCTATTTATAGAACACTTGACATGTTACTGTGCATTAAACTGAAAAGCTAACTAAACATAAGCTAAAACTAAGGGTAATTACATGGTAAAAGCTATTTAACAGCTACTTACTACATCACATTCAACCAGAGATATATAATGTAGATTTGCAATACTGAGCAGATGTTGGCTAGTGGCAACTATGGATGCAGTAATGGATTAGAACAGGAAAAATAATACTATAAACTTTGTTTTAATGCTATTTTTTTCTAATAGAATTCGGCTGAGTTTATGGTTGAAAATAGGTCATTTGATTCTTTTTGTAATTGTGTACAAATCACAGCTTCTACTTGGTGCTTAAACCATAGGAACTCTTTCTGTAACTATAGTCTAACAATGCTCATTCACAATTGGAAAGCCGCTCTTCATTAATTTTTTGTGTGGCGGAGGCTGTTTTTTTCGTTTATAATACAAGTTTCTGTTTCTCATTAAAAGAAAAAAAAAAAAGAATTCAGCTGATTTAGGTTTTGAGTTAGGAGCCGGTAATTTTCACAACCAGAAACCACTGGGATCCTAATATTTTATTTGGACTATTCTTCATACCTTTATTTTCTTGTGGTGACACCTGATGTTTGGATGCGATCACTCAAACCACAGGTTAAGGAGCAATTGGTTCCTATACTACAAGATTACAATATGAGACCTCAGGTAATAAATTCAGCAATTGCTAGGCTCTGTACCTTTATGATATTGGTACACAGCAATAATCAATAATATTGATTTCTGGGAATTCCTATATATAGCATTATCATATCAAATTTGAACTGACTTTGGTTTTTTTATATCATGCCAATAAATGAAAAAATTTCTTGTCAAATATGTAAATTTATATTAAAATTGAAATGCAGGTACTCTCTTCTTATGTATTTATAGCTACAAATGTCATCCTCCATGCAACTGAAGCAGTTCAGTCCAGCCATTTGGATGAGTTGCTTCCTCCACTTGTTCCACAATTGACCTCTCATCACCACAGTTTACGGGGTTTTACTCAGGTTGGTTTTTCAAGAGCATATAATCTTGTTTCAAGTAACCCTGCATTTTAAACTGTTGAATTAGTTAGAAGTTAAGATTATGTGGACTTAGTTAGAAGTTGTTTTAAAGTTGTTTAGATTTTGTGTTTAAATTTAGCAAATAAATCTCCTTTTTTGTTAGGGAAGTTAGGAGGTTATTCCTAGATTTTGTTTCCTCTTGTAACCTATAAATAGTGTCTCTATTCCTCATCTTTGATGAATCAATTTTGAGAATTTATTTCTTCTCTCTTTTCTCGTGTATGTCTCTCTGGTGTCTCTATCCTTAGTTTTTATGGTATCAGAGCAAGAGGTCCTATGTTCGAACTCCTGCATTGCGATTCCTCCCCATTTATTATGATTTCCACTTGTTGGGTCTTGATGTTGTTTTCCAAGCCCACAAGTGAGGGGGAGTGTTAGAATCCATATAAATGAATTAAATTTACCCAACCCATCAGCTTAAGTTTTTGGGTTGAGGGGTGGTTTGTTCATCC